CTCCCACCACCTTGGTTTGCGAATTATCTGAATTTAGCCCAATTTTCTGCTAAATTATTCAAAAGAATTGTTTGCTTTTTACCAACCCTGTATTTTTACAAATGGATTTTACATTTGAGTTCTTTACCAGAGAAATTGATAAACTATTTCTGGGGTTTAGGTGTTACTCATAAATATATTTTATTTTTCACAATGAATTCTTCCCTTGTTTATTTTTGGGCTGTTCCCTCAGGCTGGTTTTACATCCAGGCTGTGTGACTGAGACTTTGGAAACAAGAGAAGCAATTTCAAATAAAACAGTTGCTAATTTTAAATACTGTAAATATGCCGTTGTGGGATGTTTTAGGATATTTAAATATTTTTTTTTCCATTATCCCAATTAATTATTGTCAAACAAACACACATAGGAAGACCCTTGGCCTAAGATAGTGGAGTTAAATCCTGTGCTGGTGGCCACAATTGGAATTCCAAAGTTTTAGGTCTCACAAAGTTTTAGATCTCACCATTTTCCTGCAGTTTCCAGTGAGCACTTTCCAGCAGGGCAGCRAAGGACAGCAAGGACAGGAAGGCACAGAGGAGGTGAGACATCTGTAGGGGAAAAAAAAATAAATAAAAAAAATTATTAAACCTCATTGGGTTGGGTTCAGTGGGCTCCAAACTCAGGCTGGGGCTGGGCAGGGTGACAAGGACACAAAATCAGCCCCAGGGAACTGAGGAACATCCTCCTTTTCTGGGATAAAAGTGGGATCTCAGGTTTGTACTAGAGCCAAGATTTGGATCCCCTTGGGATTCTCATCCCAAATTTAGAGAAGGAATCGCTCTGAGGGAATGGTGGAGTGGGTCAGGTCTGTTCCCTCATGGAACATTCCTGGGCAGGGAAAGCCCTGCAGGTCCAGTGAGGCCAATTCCCCACCAGGATCAATCCCTGCTATCTGCATCAGGGACATCACCCCACATGGAAATGTGTCTTTCTCCTGAATTTGTTCCAAATGCCACCAGAGCTCTCCAGGAAACACCAAACTCCTTTGCCAAATGTTGTAATAATTACTGGCTGCATAAAACCCTTTAACAAAGGTCATTTAGACAGAATTCCAGGCCTTTTCAAACTGGAGATTAAACCAAATTAATGGAAATAGAATCTCTTAAAGAAAGAGATGGTGAATATAATTTTCAAAGTCTATTCTGACTACAGAGGGAGGCTGAACACAGGTGAAAACCRCAAAATGAAGTGATTTGAGTTGTTTTTTCCTCCCAAATCACTCTTTGTCATGAAAGAGGAGAAGCCCTCCTGATTCCTGGAGAGCAGAGCGTGTTCCTGTGGGAAAATCAGTCCCCACCACAGCTCCTGCTGTCCTGAGCATCCTCAATCCTGCTCCAGATCTTCCAGTGCCCTTTGGGTTTGTACCCAGCTCCTACAGGATCTGGGGCCACAATTGAGGGTGTGGAGAGTGCCCAGGGGAGGCAGCAGCTCCTGTGCCCAGAGAGGGCACGAGGCTCAGGGAAAGCTCGTTTTTGCTGGACAGAAATTACAGAATGATTTGGGATGGAAAAGAGCTCTGCAAATGTGGTATCCTGCTAGCAGTGCTCTGCTTCTTTGCACCCTCAGATTTCAGGCAGGATCAGCTGGAATTTCCAACAGAAGGATTMATTTGGCAACTTCTGAAAGCTGCTGGTTTCTGTCACAGAAACACGAAATTCATCAGCACRCAACCCCCATAAACCCGAAACTAAACATCCAAACTGCAGCTCAGGGTGGGGACTGCAGTGGGACCTGTGCCTTCTCCTCCATTCAGCACAGTTAAAAACTCCAAAATGGGAAAGTTTCTCCTGGTTTGAGGGGGAAGCTTCAGGATTCAGATTTTTGATGAAAACATTCAACAGTTTTCACAAAAATTATTCCAGCAGTAGATGTGGGAGAGCATCCCTTTCACCATTTCAAAATGTTATTGAAAAATAAATASCAATCTGGTCCCATAAAGGGATAATAATTGCCTGGTGACACGGGAAGAGCTCCAGGAGTGTGGGCATGACTCCAGCATGAGCTGAACTTCATGAGCATGTAAATATTGCCCTGAGAAAAAACATCCCAAAAACTACTTCAATCCCCTCTCAAATAAACAATTTACGATTTTCATTCATTTTATCTGACAGCTGCCCACAGAATAAAGAAGAAATGAGTTCTCACCGTTTCCTGGGCAGCCTCTGGAGCTGCTGGAGCTGCAGGGGAGGTTGACCTGGTGCTGTGAAGGAACCCCAGTGCTGGTGCTTTATAAATCAGACTGCAGGGAAGGAGGTGCTCCCTGGCCACAGCACCCGCAGGATTGCAACACCCCATCCAGTTCCTATTTTACATAGGGCCACAGCTACAGCCCAGAAAAAAATATTTGGGAGTCCCAGGTGAACTTCGAGGAGGAAATGAAATTACGAGATTGTCAAAATGACCTTTATGGTCTGCCAGAGTCATTTCCTTTCCTCGCTGGTTTTGTGTCTCTGATTCTGCCTCCTCCTCACCAGAGAAAGAGTGAAGAGAGACCAAATAAACTTCCAGAAAGGTCTGATGGGAAATACAGAATAAAGACAGAAAGAGAAAGTTCAATGAACTGAAATCTGTCTACCTGATAARCATGAGGGAGATAATGATGTGACCTCTAACCCCAGCTCCCACATCAATCACAAGCAAAGGGAATATTCAATTTTAATTGCTGGTTTGCAKTTGTGTGTGTTCTATGAATTGAGACTTAGGTCAGCCAGAAAATAAACAATKAGTCCTATCTTAGAGATAAAACCCTGCTATTTGCACATTATTGCGCTGCAGAGTTAAATATAATCTGAACCTGATGTTCCTTTTAGACTTTAGGCATAAGAACAGTCCTGGGCTCCACAGGGGCTTTGAAAACCAAGAGGTTTCTATTGATTTTTTAAAATTTTTTGTGAAATAATTGAATTCAATTCTCATTATTTGCCTGGCAAACCATAATACACTGCTTATATAACAAAAAAGGGTCTGAAATTCAACCTGACACACTTCAGCAATTCATGGAGAAGCACAACTCAATTCCACGTGCTTTCCAGGGCAGGGTTTCCCTGGTGCAGGAATTACAGAGCCATAATCCAGGAATGGAGTGATGGTGCCTGTTCCTACTGCTATAATCCCAGAATTGCAGAATCCCACAATCCCAGAATGGTTTGGGTTGGAAGGGACCTTAAAAATCATTTCAGTGCCATCCCATCATGGGCAGGGACACCTGCCACTGTCCCAGGGTGCTCTGAGCCCTGTCCAGCCTGGCCTTGGGCACTGCCAGGGATCCAGGGGCARCCACAGCTTCTCTGGGCACCCTGTGCCAAATTCCCAATCTCCCATCCATCCCTCCCTGCCCTCTGGCAATGGGAATCTGTTCCCTGTATCCCGGCTCTCCAGGCTGGGACAGGACCCCAACAGTTTTCCAGAAATCCCCCACATGGGTGAAACAACCCAGGCAGCCCCATATGTGCCACCTCTGGTGCCCCCAGATCAGCAAGAAATAAACCCCAAAGAGGAGCAGCCCCAATTAGAGGGGTAGCCCCAAATAGCAGGGAGCTGAACTCATGATGGGGCTCAGGAATGGGGCCTCATAATTCCTGAATTCCTGCCTCTGCCACATGGCCAGGGGACAGGGGGCAGTGAGGGGGCATCCCAAAGGGACAGAGGGGAGTTTGGGATTCTGTTTGCACCACGCTGAGAGCTCCGCACTAAAGTCCAGCCCTGCCAGGGGTTCCTTCCCTCTGCTCAGACATCCTCTGCCAAGGGATGTGGCTCCAGTGGGATCCCGGTCCTGCTCGGCAGCGGAGCTGTGACCCCATCCCATCCCATGGATCCCATCCCATGGATCCCATCCCATGGATCCCATCCCATGGATCCCATCCCATCCCATCCCATCCCATCCCATCCCATCCCATCCCATCCCATCCCATCCCAGAGCGCCCAGCCCGCTCCTCAAACACGGGAATTCCCTGTGCCGGGGCTCCGGGATGGAGCGGGGATGCGGCGGGGCGGCTCCGGGAGCGGCTCTGTTCTCTGCCAGCGGGGAGCAAAGCTGCTCCTGCACACCCCAAACGCTGAGCCCGACTCGGGGAGGGTCACTGAGCCATTCTGGGGGGATCACTGAGCCATCCCTGACACAGAACTGAACCACCGAGCGGCTCCTGCACACCCCAAACGCTGAGCCTGGATCGGGATGGGGGATCACTGAGACACCCCCGACACAAAACTGAACCACGGGGCTGCTCTCCTGGGGGATCACTGAGCCATTCTGACACAGAACTGAGCCAAGGAGCTGCTCCTGCACATCCCAAATGCTGGATCCGGGGGGTCACTGAGACACCCCGACACAGAACCGAGCCACGGAGCTGCTCCGACACACCCCAAGCTCTGAGCCTGGCGCCGGGGGAGGTTACTGAGCCATTCCCGACACAGAACCGAGCCACGGAGCTGCTCCCCTGAGATCGCAGCAGCGATGGGACGGGGCAGCGGCAGCTCAGGCACCTCCAAAGGGATCCAAACCATTCCAGGGGACAAAGCTGTCCCCTTCTCACCCCATTCCTGCCAGAGGAGCCAGCTCAAGGGAGGCTGTGCTGGGCACCAGTTCCAGCTCAGCTGCCTGTCCCCATTCCAGGCTGGGAACCTTGGGATGGGGAGCGATTTGGGGAGCGGGAGGGACTCGGGGAGCCCGGGGAGCAGGAGGGGTTTGGGAAGCAAGAGGGGGTTTGGGAAGCAGGAGGGGTTTGGGGAGCAGGAGGGGTTTGGGGCGCCCGGGGAGAAGGAGAGGATTTGGGAAGCAGGAGGGAGTTTGGGGAGCAGGAGGGGTTTGGGGAGCAGAGGGAGTTTGGGGAGCAGGAGAGGATTTGGGAAGCAGGAGGGAGTTTGGGGAGCAGGAGGGACTTGGGGAGCTCAGGGAGCTGTGACCCATCCCTGGCAGCCCCATCCTGATGGAAATGAAGCACCAAGGAGAAAGAGCCCAGCCTGGATCAGAGTTAGGCACAAAATTGTTCCTGTTCAGGACAATTTCCAGCATCCAGAATCCCTTTTGGGATAACGCCCAACAGCAAACCCACGAGAGGAAAACTGAGGAGCTGAGTTCAGCCGCTGGCAGCGGGCAGGAATAACACCGTGGGCATTTCCTGCTCCCTCCTCAGCCCATCCCACCTTCCCTGTTCCCTTCCCTGTTCCAGCCTCTCTTCCTGCACAGAAATGTGACTGATGCAGGGCTCAGACATGATCTTTAACTGCCTGCTCACCAATAGTTACTGATTAACACAAATAAATCTCGAATAATTCATACAAATAAATGCACATTTTCAGTGTGTTTGCATCAACCCTTCCTGATTCCCTTATCCCAGGACACTCAGAATGATTTGGTGCCAGAGCTTTATGGCAAAAATCCCAAAAGCCAGTCCTGGAGCGCAGACCCCTCTGCGTGGAACTTCCATGCTGGGATGGTTTGCTGTGATCCATCAGAGGAATTTTAAAACATTCAAACACAGAGATTGTGAAAAGCTCTCTCGATGACAGCCTGGTTTTCCACTATGAGCTCACTGATTCTGAAGGGAAA